CGTTTGCCGGTTTCTCTTTCAGTCGCATCACGCTCGCCACACGAGCGGTCCATCAGCTCCGACCGCCTGCGCTGAGCCGCGGGACCCGTTAGCTGAGCATCTCCCTTGGGTGGTGCTATCACGGAGGGGTTTTAAAACCAAAACATGGCTACAGGGGATGACCTGACCCAGTGTTCCTGGGGTGCTGCAAATCAGAGCCATACCAAGAACGCCTGATAGAAAACTGCACAAAAAAAGCATCTTCCTCCTGCTGCACCCCTTTTTTTAAAGAATTTTTTTCTTTTAATCTCATTTTATCACCAGACGCCCGGGTCAAGGCAACACCCACAAACTCCTACTGCCCGCTGAGAACAGGGGGAACAGAAGCATCAGCCGCCGGCCCAAGGAAGGGGTTTCACCCGTCCCAGCAGCCGGGCTGGGGACAGTCAGCACCGCGGCTCTCCAGCCCGCTGCGACGGGCTCAGGGAGGCCAGGGGAGCTCCCAAGCCCAGGGTTAAATTTTCAAGGCTTTTATGGATGTGCAGCAAGGACGGGCTGGGGTGCAGGGGAAGGGGAAGAGGCGAGCGGCACAGGGCAGCCTGGGCCACGTCGAGGTGACTGCACGGGGAGCGAGCAGGTGCCTTAACGCCTGAAGACACGAAAGAGAGACGTGAGCAGTTTCACGGAGGAGTTCTACCATCACTAAGATTGGAAGGAAAACAATTGGTTTTTTCATGCTTTGCAACGCAAAACTAGAAAAAAAAAAGCCATTTGGGTATTTTCCGAATACAGCTCCACAAAGCAGAGGAGCCTGGGTGCTCCGGCCAACCTGGCGCCCCGAGACACCCTCTAACACGGGTGGTCGCTGAGGCTGGGCGAGACGCACGAAAGCAAGCAGCTCCAAGCAGGGATTTTTTCCAGAGTTTCTTCCCAACCCAGCTCACTTCCATTAAACAGTTTCCACGTGACAAACTCGGCAATTTCAAACAGCAACAGCAAAAACTCTTCCTTGCGGTTGTCCCCCAGCTCTGCCCCGTCACCAGCATGGACCTGCTCCATCCAGCTCCTACGTCCCAGCCAACAAGACCACGCAGGGCTTCACTCAAACGCCCTCTCCAACTTTGACATCCCTTAAGTAATCCCAACTCGTATTTCGCCTCAGGCGCTCGATTAAATCAGCGTGATTTAACTCCTGCCGAGCCACCTGCGCTGTCCGTGCCAGCTCGACCGTCCCCTCCACCTCGTCCCCTGCCAGGACGCCCCGGATGAACGGGAAGGCAGGCGTGGAGCAGGCTGCACGCGCGGGCAGCGTTTGGGCGAGGGACACGCGCAAAACAACCGTCTGAAGCCTGCAGGGAGAGTTATTTCAGCGCAAGCAGAATAGCTGCGCGGTCTCGCTCCCGCCGTAGCCGGCTCGCCGCAATTGTCCCTTTAAAGACCAATAAAGCGTTGAAAAAGCAAGATTGCAACGTGGGAGAGACCCATCCATCTTCACGTGAAAGAGGGAGACGGGTCAAGACGGGGAGGGAAAATAAAAAAAGAAAGTGAACAAACAAAACACACAAACAAAAAGAAAGAGGGAAGAAAAGGTAGAGGTGGGTGGCGAGCAGCCAGCATCTGCTCCAATAAATTCCACGCTCCTTGAAATTGGCTGATCTCCAATAAAAACTCATTTTAATCTAAGACCACGAGACTCCTTTGTAAAGTGCTCCCTGGAGAGGCCACAGGGATGTGAAATATTATTCATCTCCTGAGCGGCTGGAGCGGACCGGAGAGGCGCGATAAGGCTGGAGGAGCCGCGCGCGTCGGCTTCCCCACCACCACCACCACCCCGCTCCCCGCAGCGGTGTGACACCGCACAAAACTAGGTCCATCCATCCCGCCTTTACCTGCCCTCCTGCTGCCCCCAGTGCCAGTAAATACACTCATTTAAGACTTTTCTTCTTGCTAACTCAGTGCATTCCCTCGAGTGCAAAGAGCTGCCCCGGTTTTGGGTCCGAAAGGTTTCTGCGCGCCGCCGGGAGCCTGCTTTGGTGGTGGCATCTCCCCGCTCCCAGGAGCCGGCCTGATCCCTCAGCCCCCGCAAGCCCCCGGGCACAGCGGGCTTTCAAGACGGGCAGTTCATCGCAGCTCCTTAATTACAGCTCAAAACTGAGCAGAAAAACCAACTAATTACGGAGCTGAAGACCCTGCGTCATTAGACGCCCTGATTCCCAGCAGCCCCTCGCTGGCTCCGCTCCCCCCATCCCGTCCCCTCTCTGCCTGCTGCCCCTGGAAAGCCGTCTCTCCCTTTCCTCCCCGCCTCGAGAAAGACTCAAATTAGGTTATTCATTTTAAAGCAATTATTTGGAAAATCATCAACTGAGGAGCAGTGATTTGTCAGCAGCCCTGCAAGGCCAGGCGGGCGGCTCGGGGCTCTTTTGCCCTCAGCCTGGGGACAAGTCCCCACCGCGCTGTCCCGTCCCCCCGGCCCCAGGGAGTGGGAGTCGGGCTGGCCTGCAATCGGGGTGGTGGAAGAAGCCCCAGGCCCCAACCCCGCCGCACTCCAGCCCGTAAGCACGCAGAGCGGCTGCAACGCTCACCTCCAAGGGGGGCAGAAAAGGGGAAAAAAAAAAAAGAGGGAAAAACAGCAACAATAATACAATTTCCATGATTAATCGACTAGGAAGGAGCCGTTTGATTTTCTGACGAGCCCTATTTAGTGCCAGCTTTTCCTGGCTTTGATCTCAGCCCCCAGCATGTCAGACCGCTGCTGATTAATACATTTAATTGCTGCTCCGAAGGCTCCCGCGTTGCCAGAGACGCCGAACGCGCCCGCGGCGGCGGGAAGCTTTTCCCCAAGGGCGGCACGGTCGCTCCGGGGACAGAGCACGACCTTCGCAGGGGACAGCTCGCACGGGCGAACCCCTCCGCTGCGTCTGGCGATGCCGGTTGAGCCACGGCGTCTCGGAGAAACACGAATCCCCGGTGCGGTGGGACCCTCGGCACAGCTGGCTGTGGGCACCAGGCACGCGTGCGGACCCCGAGCTTTGGGGAGCGGGGTTGCTCCTGGAGGGCAAATCTCCTGGCACCTGAAGGCCTTCCGGGCAGGAAGGGAAAAGGCCTCGGCAAGAGGAGAAGACAAAGGAGGAGCAGATCAGCAGAGGGGAAAGCCAAATAAAGCAGCGGCATGAGCACGGCAGCAAGATAAACACCTAGAGGCAGATTGATGGAGCAGTAAAGAGCTTTCTATAAAGCAGTTAATGCTCTAATAAAAAAAAAAAAA